GACTGGACAAGTTCCTGTGCAGCCTGCTGTAGGAGACCCTGCTTTGGCAGGGGCATTGGACTGCGTGACCCACAGAAGTCCCTTCCAACCCCGACCATTCTGTGATACTGTGATCTTTGAAGATTCCGTCCAACCCACACCATCCTATGATTCTGTCAAATACCTGCCAAAACAACCCCACAAGGCGCCCGCTGCTCAGCCGAGCTGAGAGGTCCACCGGCAGACAGACCAGCTCCCGAGCGGTGCCACTCGCCGCCCACCACAGTCCCACCCAGGAGCACTGCCCTTTCACCAGTTGTCCCCAGTCTCTGTGGGAGGGCTGCACCAACCGAGCCCGCAGCCAGTGGCTGCACCCATGCGTGGCAGCAGTGGCACTGGAAGAGCTGGAAGCTGATGCCAATGTTCTCACGGTCCCCTGTAGATGCTCTGCTGGACTGTGGATACTGGAAGGTGTTGGAAATGATGGGACAGAGGGCATGAATAAATGCAGGAAAAGATGATGAGGTAGTAGCAGAAAGGAGCTGCTGAGAAGGAGGTGGAAGGAGAAAACAGGGGCAGTGGAAGTGGGACAGTGAACATCTCTCCTCTCCTCTCCTCTCCTCTCCTCTCCTCTCCTCTCCTCTCCTCTCCTCTCCTCTCCCCTCCTCACCTTCCGCTGTCTCTCATCAACGAAGTCATCCATATGCACTTTCTTGGCCATCTTTACCTCTTTGGACAAAGGTTCACTCTTTGACCTTTAATTTTTCCAGCAACAGAGTACAAAGTAGAAGTACCAGGACACTATCTTCACTTGCAACATTTCTATTAATATTTGCATTCCTTCAAACGTGGTCAGAGGTTGGTGTTTTCTCCTGAAGCTGTGGAAGCTGCTGTTGCTCCAGGAAGCGTAAGACGAAAGTATGAAAAATGCAGGGGTTCATGTGTGTGCTTTTCCCGCCCTGCCAGGAGCTCCCTCTGATTGCCAACGTTTGGGCAACTCTTACAGTAAACATTAGGTCATCCCACCAACAAAATTGCTGGGAACCGAAAATTTTCCAATGGCTTTAATTTCAGTGAGATTCTGGATTTATACCTGTAGATGAACTGCTTGGTTGCCAGATCCTCGTCTACATGATAGTTAAACATCATTGCCCTGTTTTACAGAGAAATGAAGAACGACGTGCAGGCGTGAAGGGCTATGTTGGGAGAAGTGGCCACCCAAGGAGTTGGTGCAGGGGGTAGGTGCCTACCTCTCAGCACCCAAGTTTGCAAAAATAAAAATAAGCAAAGCTTGACCGATAAAATATAAGAGAAGTTAGAAAGAGAGTGAGGCAAAGGTCAAGGAAGAAGTTAAGGCTGAGAAGCAGCTCAGTCTCTTGTCCCATCCCCTTGGCTGTGGTGCCTGTTGAACCAACGAGTTGTCCTCCCCACCGCGCAGACATTACACGGCTGCTGGGAAGACGAGCTGGCTCAGCCACTGTGCAGCCAGCTGGCTGGGAGTTCGCAGCAGCCCCAGCGCTATTCAAGGTGGCTCATATGTCACGGCTCTCCACAAACATAAAATTGATCTAGAGCCTTCCCAAAGTATCTGAGGCCTGTGCCTATCCTTCCTTGACCACAAGAGCCAAAATTATCTGGCTGGGAACAGTCTGTGATCTGCAGAAAACAAAAAGTCATTGACAAGCTTTCCACCCAAGTGATTGGCTTATATTCCTCCCTCAGGCTAGCATGCAACTCCCTACTTCCTAAATGAAAGCAAAACTTCTCTTTAACATCTCATCGTCATTCAGATGTCGGGAATTGTGGCTGCAGAACGGAAGGGGGCTGATTCTGATGGTGACACAAGCTTTAGGGTTTACTGGAATTAGAACAGAAGCAGAAACTCCGTATCTCAACCAAGAAAACGAACATTCACCTTGCCTGTCTGGTAACCGAATGCCCTTGAGGAGGTCCCCGAAACACAGCAGGCCTGCAGAGGAATACCTGGGAAAGAGCAAGAATTTATTCAGAATTCCTCTTTATGCAAAGTCAAAGTCATGTAAAGATTAGCCTTTCGAACAACGAGTTGACCTAATGTGGAAAAAAACAGGAAGTCTTTTCTTCTCAGGTGAGGTATGTGCAACAACCTTAAAAAGTCTAAAACATATACTTAGACCTATTTAGCCTAACTATAAATTATCCTTTTCAACACTTTAATTAATTTATAAATGGCCTGTCATTAACTGACACTGAACTGGGTGTAAGCATTTTATCACAGTAGGAAGATTCATGAACAAAAATAAATTTCATACTTTATTGCGTAGAATGTGCAAGTGATCAAATCAAAAAACAACCTGGAAAAAGAGAAGGAAACATCCCCTCAAGGGTTCTTCTCTGTCTTAGGACCACAGAGTAAGACTTTACTTGAAAAGGGATATACACATAAAAGGTCAACAGACCCACAGAAGAAAATGTCACCTACATAGTCTTTGCTAGTCAAGAGAAGTGCAAAACCAACAGGTAATATTTGGTCAGCTCTTCATCCAAGGATTTCAGGTTCCCAGTTTGGGGGAAAGAGAGAAAGCAGTAGTGAAGTATTCTGGTCACTCAGGCTGTACCAAAAAGGCCTCTGATTGATAGAGACTGTTGCAGGTTTGAGAGAGGGGAAGAACATAACAGAATGAAAGGCCCCTTGCTTTTACAGCATACCACCAAGAATCCCCGTCTTCTGGATCAGAGACAAGAAGTCATTACCTAGGGACTCCACGTGGGAGGCCAGGGTGATGGTGATGGAGGAGCCAAACTGCAGGTAACCCACCCTCATGGGGTGGTGGCATCAGAGGACTCATTTCTATGCGAGGAAAATTAAGAAAAGCCCTGTTCTGGGAGTCTTTTGAGGACAGAGACAGTTTTCCCAAGAAAAACCATTTTCCAAAGTGTGCTACCATATCAACAGCTTGTATAGTAGTCAGTAAGACTGTGGTCTGAATAACCCCCTCAACACAAAGTTTCAGTATACATTGGTTGCAAGACTAAATTGGACAAGGTTAGCTGTTTACTCATTAACCGTAAACTCCTTTCTCTTCCAAAATACAGAGCCTGCATAATTCCCATATGGTCTAAGAAAATGTAAATACGGTAGCTACCATTTAGTGAGACTGAGCCTGCAGAACAAGACATCGAGATGTCTACCTGCAAACTAGATGGTTATAATCCATTATAGTCCGTGAAGATCTGGAACTTGATTTGGCTGCAGAAACTTAGACATCTAGTGCCATCTGAGACTTCCTAGGATATCTTGCAAAGTAAGGCATGGCAGATATGCTTCTGGGTCTATGGGAGACCCAGGCCCTTCTGGAGCTGCAGGTAGAGGCCACACAGGACATCCTGCAGCACCTCAAATGGCCAGTGGTGGTTATCCACGGGTAGGCAACTGTGTAGAGCTCCTAAGTGCCTATTGATTACAACGGAGCCTAGATACTCAGCTCATGGCTTTGCAAATACACAGATAATTCCATTTAGGTGTCTCACCCACAAGCTGTATCCCAAATGTTTATATTTAAACATATCCCAATGTTTATAACTGTAGACTTGCCATCCTTGGAGACAGCTAGTTCTGAACTCTTCATCATAGTTAGATAACAGGTACATAGATTTTTTGACTCTTCGACACAAAGAACATCAGAAAGAAGTGCCCAAGTAGCAACAAAAATTGAGATTAAGGGATCCAGCCTTTTTG